ATGAGAAATAAATTTACAAAATATATATCATATATAATATGAGAGACAAAATGATAGTTTACTTGGTTTTGGTTAAGTCTCGTATCAGTCAACGCACTAATTAAACGCTAATAAGTTTTGACAAATTCATGTTTACTTTCATTTGTTTAATCAATTTCTGACTACTTTTTTGTTATCAATGTGAAATTGATTTCAATGGTTAAAATAGATATAATCTAAATATAGTAACTAATAATATAGTGCATGGTAATTTAAATAAAATATAGATAATTTATTTTTACTATTTGAATAAATTAAATTCTAATTTTGACAAGTTGAGATTAGATTTAAACAACTGTCACATTTTTTTTATTAATTATTAAATAATAAATGTTTTGAAATTGTTTTACAAATGACACTCACCTACAATATAATTTTATGCAATATTAAATGACATTTGATCAATTAATTAAAACTTTATTTATAATTTATTACTTAATGCATAATAGAAAAATAAAAATTTTGACTTTTTCATACAGTTATGTAAAATAAAAATTAATTTAAATGAAAACTACTTTAATATTTAAATGACAACAATTTGCATTTACTTTAAAATAAAATTCAACATCCAATAAGCCAGATAACAATGTACCAGAGCATTCCGTCCAAATAACTTTATTTAACTTAATTATAGATTTTATTTATAAAATGATTAAATGTTTACAGTTTTTAAACCAATCGAGAATATATTTTTAGAGATTAATTAGTACCGTATTTTAAATTAGTAAATAAAACTACTTCTAAAACAAATTATACACTAAAACTTTAATCATGGAGATAATTTGAGTGCAATTGTTTTGAGACAGAGTTGCCCTCAACCATTTTATACGACAAACATATTATCGATCTATATGCTGGCACAAATCAAATGCCCATGCACAAATTCAAGTTTTGAAACATGTAATAAGGTAAACGTTATAATTGCAATAATCTCTAATAATTAATGACTAGAGTATTATTTATAAACCCTTGTCAAAATCATAGCAAATTATTATTATAAATAATTAAATTAATTGTATTGTACAAAGTAATTTAATAAAATCTTAAAATTGCAAAATTTTTGCTCAATAATAAATTAGAAACTTGTGGTTTTAACAATATAAAATATGTTAAAGTGTACTGGCTGTTTATTAATAAATGTATTGACGCAACGAATAACGTAAATGAAATATAAAAACAAAAAGTTTCTATAAATTTAAAATGAGAAATATCAGTATAATATAAATCAAAATATGTCATATATAATACAATACAACCAGACAATAATCAAAGTCAAGGCATTATCTCTTATTATTAATGAAAATGTTAAACTTAAACATATAACATCTAAAATAAAACTCAATGATAATACTTGATATGTGGAATACATTGAATACAATGATATAGTATCATACTGGAAATGGATATAAAAGTGGCAATAATGGATCTTGTGAATGTGCATCCAGTGGTGTATAACTCCAATTGGTGATATATATTCAAGAGCTAATACGGGAACTTCAACTGTATCTATATCTAAAACATCAGGCACTATAGGAAACAATTGACAAGGTTNTATATTGTTAGGCATTAGATGTGACCCAAAGGCTCCATTCATTGATAAATATGTGTCATTTAACTTATGGCTTCATTAGCATGAAATTTCTTGCCATCTTCTATTTTTATTTTTCTGTATGTATTTTGACTTAAGATTAGAGTTTTGTAAAAACAAAATTCAATTTCAATACCATTTATACCATTCAAGTAATGCATTATTAATGACAGAATCGGGTTTTTATTTCTAATTCTAAATATTCTCTAAATCAATAAATCAATGCTTTGTCTTATGACTGGCACTATATGTGAAGTTTTTAGTAAAATTTCACATATTTTTACAATTGTTGTAGTTTTATGTTTTGTTTATTTTTATACATTAAAAATGATTATTTTAATACTGTATCTATAATTCATATATTGTATATTAAAATTAGGATTTTAAAATTACTGTATACAATTTATTCCATTATTATTACTAACTGTAATTAAAATTTTCAATATTGATTATAAACATTTAATTTTAAATGATTATAACTTTATATTAAAAGAAATTCTTGATATTTTTTGTATTAGTTTCAAGTTGAGATATTAAAGACATCTAGTGGAACTGAATCTACCAATTACATCTTAAAATAACTCTGATAACTTGATGCTGTTTTATTTATTGGGATAAAATAATAAATTAACACTTATTTATGACTTTTAAGCATATTTAATGATTTAGACATACACAACATATTAATTTTACCACAAATTATGTATTAAATGTACACTTTTTAAAATATATTTTTACAATATTGGTTTATAGGTTTGGGATTTGCATTTATTTTCCGTTATAAGGATAGTAACCAGTATTGTAACCGGTATTGTAACCGGTACCATACGGGTAATTACCAACTGGCTGGATACCACCAACCGGTACAACAGATTGTACTCCACCAACCGGTACAACACCACCAACAGGTTGTACTCCACCAACAGGTACAACACCACCAACAGGTTGGACACCACCTACTGGCTGTACACCACCAACTGGTACACCGTTATTATAGTATTGTATGTTACCAAAGCTGGACAAAGGTCTGGGGGCTATCTGTTGAATGCCTCCAATGGGATAAACTTGACTACCGGTTCCTATATTACCAACTCCATTAGTACCGGTGCCAGTGTTGACGCCATTCCCATTTCTGTAACCGATCACTTGATTTGTGTTGTAATAACGAGCGGTGTTTCCATCGCTGTCTAAGTATCCGATCGGTTGGTTATTGAAGTTATAGATCTGACCATTGGTTCCAACATATCCTACAGCCTGTCCATTATTGTACACTTCATTTCCAGTGTTGCCAGTGTTTCCAGTGTTTCCAGTGTTTCCTGTGTTTCCAGTGTTTCCTGTGTTTCCTGTGTTTCCAGTGTTTCCACCGGTTGTCCCGCAACCATCTCGGCTCTTGTTTCGTCTTTGCCAACCACTGATGACATTGTTATTGCCGTCGCGAACGTTCACTCCGTTGGCGTCCAGGGTTCCGATCTTCTGACCGCTTGAGTTATAGACTGTGTTGTTGTCATTACCTACTGTTCCCACAAGATTACCATTGGCATCATATACACCATCACCGGTATAGTAGGGGGTCCTTAGGCTACCAATTTGCTGGTTACTGCCATTGGCATATACAGTTTTATTGTCAGCGCCAAGATATCCGATGTCCTGTCCGTTACTCCAGACGTGGTCGCACGCGTCCACGACTCCGATTTGGTTGCCGTTTCCGTCGTAAGCGATTTGGTTGTCGTTATAACCCAAAGTCCCGATTACATTACCCGAGTTGTCCAACACTTGTCTCGAGTTGTTTGGGTTCACGTGTCCGACTACCTGTCCATTGTTGATGACATTGCCATTGCCATCCACAGTGCCGATCACATTGTTTCTGTTCCCATAAGCCGTGGTTCCGTTCACTACAGCTCCTAATCAGTCAATTAGATATAGTTTATTAGTATTTAGTAAAGTATTTATACACTATTATTATAATACCATGGATTCCTGCCAACGAAATCAAAAGGGTTAATGCAATTAAAAATCGCATTATTCTCGTAATTTGTTTAGTGATTGCCTCTTACAATAAAATTAGAGACTAAACTTGCTTATATACTTTAAGTCTGTTTGAATTTATAGTAAAATGGTCAATGTCAATGTGAATAGTCGATATGGATCTAAAATTAATTAATTTTCTAACTTTTCTCAACAAATGTTTCAAATATGTTGTTTTTTAAATCTATCTAACTAATTAATTAAATTTAAACAATTCGTTTTATGATAAAATTGAATCTATAAATTAGTTTTAAACAATATTACACAATATTACACTCAAAATAATTATTGTAAGGAAATTATTCAATATATAAATGGATGTCAATCTTAAATAATTATTTAAGCAATACACATATTACATTAAGCTATAATTATTCTCCCTTTGCGAAATATTTTATTAAATTTTAATATTTATATACAAATACTTTTAATTTTCATCTGTATATAATATTTTTGGATATCTATTAGATATATAGTAGATATCTGTTGGAAGTAAAGATACCGTTGATTAATATACTAGATTGTAATCGTAAGAAACCTTGTCAATTGTTTCCTATAGTGCCTGATGTTTTAGATATAGATACAGTTGAAGTTCCCGTATTAGCTCTTGAATATATATCACCAATTGGAGTTATACACCACTGGATGCACATCCACAAGATCCATTATTGCCACTTTTATATCCATTTCCATTATGATACTATATCATTGTATTCAATGTATTCCACATATCCAGTATTATCATTGAGTTTTATTTTAGATGTTATATGTTTAAGTTTAACATTTTCATTAATAATAAGAGATAATGCCTTGACTTTGATTATTGTCTGGTTGTATTGTATTATATATGACATATTTTGATTTATATTATACTGATATTTCT